AGGTTGCAGACAGTTTTGATGGTCAGATTCAGGAGGTTTCTATAGACCTAAGAAATTTAATGATAGAGATTTTATACAATCCCTAGCACTCTTCCACAATTTATATTAGACATCATCTGTGAAACGCAATTTAGCCCCAGCTGGGCCTCATGTCTGTGATGTTCAGATATCCTGCGGAGTACAGGCTTTGTCCCATCTCTTGCAGGGCCTGGTCTAAACCTTTCTCCTCTCCCTACCACACCCCAGTTTCCATCAGTGTTTGCACCTAAGTATGTCCCTGTGAAAATAGAGACCTTCTCTCATCCTCTGCTTCCCCCTCCACTTCCACTTAGCTAAACCTACCCATAGCCTTTTGTCCAGGCTTAGCTGTGTCCCGCCTCTTCTGCTCACACCATCCCCATGTGGACACCTGATATCACCTTTCCCAGTTTTTCAAACCACTCACTATCGATCTACAGTTTTCATTGGCTCCATCTCTTCAGGCCACCAACATGCTCAAGTCTCTCCCAAACTATAATAACTAAATCCTTCCTGGGCCCGATTTTCCCTGCGAGCCACTTCTCCATCTCCTTCGGCTCACAGCCCAGTGCCTGAAACAGGAGTCAGTATTTTCTGTGTCTGCTGTCTCTCCTCCTCAGTCCACAAAGACAGATGCACTATTTGCCCCCACTGCTCCAGTGAAACTGCTCTCCCTGAGGTTAATGCCACCGTCCTCTTGTCTTTCCAATGATCCATGTTTTCCTTCTCATCCCGCAGCATCGGTGGCTCCAAGGCTGCTACCTGGGCCTCTTCCATTCACGTTCTCTTCATAATTTTCTCCCTTGCAATAAATGATGAACTATACGCTGATCAGTGTCATAACTATTTTTAACTCTACTCTTGCCCCTGAGTTCCAGTATTCCTGACTACCTTTTAGGAATTTCCAGGCATGCTTCAGACTACTGATTTTCTGCCCCCAATCCTAGCCTGTTCCTCCTCCTCCATTTCCTGTTTTGATACTGTCACGACTGTTCTTTCACTCACGTGACTCAGGCAGAACTATCAGAGTCATCACTGATTCTCTTCCCAAATCAGGTCAGTTGGTCACCATGTCTGCTTGCTTCTCTCTCTCAGACTCGAGTTCTCTTCCACAAGCCCCTGCTCCGTCCCTGCCACTGCCAAAATTCTGGTTCTTTTCTGGATGACTGAACCCGCCTTCTGACTGGGATTCTTGCCTCTAAACTTAGCCTGCTGGTACAGAATGGAATATGGACTTTGGGGTCACACAAATCTGGATCCCCAATCCCAGTTACCCCTTCCTCACTGAGCATATCAGCCATCAGCTACAAACATGCCCACAGCCCAGACCTGTTTTTTTATTATTTTTCAATCACTTAGAATTATTTCAGTTGTGAACCACTAAATCCGAACATCTCACTTTCCACAATAATCTCTTACGTTACTAATGCTCATCATACTCAGTGACTTCCATCACGCTTGCTCTTTGATCTGACAGAGGCTTTGGCCCCTGGCTCCTTTCACTTTCTCCTATCTGTCCTCACTTCCTTTCGGTTCCAGCTGAGAATCCTTAGTCTCTAACACCAAACCCTTTCTTGCCCATCTCTCCAAATCCTGTGTTCTGTTGTCCTTCCATCACATTCTGACAGAGCTCCAGCCCAAGGTCCATCTAAGTGTCCCCCTGGTCCATGTCCATTTTGGTGCTGCTAAGCTCTCTTGGAGGAGCCCGTCCTCTTCTCTCCTGAACCGGCTGAAATGTGCTTCCTTTAGTTCCTCCATCAGCACCTCCACTCCCCACTCACTGCAGTGAGGAAACTCTATCAGAGGAGTTCTCTCTGCTGCCATTCACCAAACCTGCACACTTCCTCACATTAGCCCCACGCTTTCTTACAACAGAAGAGACGTCACTTCCAAATTTAAAATTCACGCCCTGCCCAGGTTGTGCATCTTATTCTCTCCAACATCTTCAGGGCCCTCTGCCTGCCTCATGCCTCCAGACTTTCTACTCTGTTTCTTTAAAGGCTCTTCCATGACAGCAACATCCTCAAGAGTCTTTATAATCTTTAAGAAAAGAAAAGAGAAAAAGGAAAAACGCCATCTCTACCTTTCATCTTCCTCTCCTTGCTTTCCACTTACTCCTTAGCCCATTGCACTTTACATAGGGTACTGCCTTGGGCACCAGTGCCTTCCTCACTTATATGAAACAAGATATAAGGAAAGCAATTTTACTGTAGGATAATTGATGTAAACAAAAGTTAAGTTCCTAGGGCATCTCATCAACATAAGGAAATGACCTTCTACAAAATGTTATTCAAAGACCTGCTATACAGGGGCCTGGCAGAAGTAACGCCTGCTTGAGTGTGTTTGGTAAGGTAATAATATGGGTGTAATAACTTATAGTTTTAACTTGAACATTTCACCTAAAATGTCATATGGTGTGCTTGAGTATGATATTGTTATGTTACAGAATTACATGCTTCAGGTTTTGTAATAAAAGGGGGGCATTATTTTTTCCAGACCCTGCATATCCAGCATCAATATTTAGCAATACAGAGTGAATTGTATTCATCTACACCCACAAGCTTTCCCCAACCCAGCTGATTATTTTGAAGCAACTCTCTGGCATCATATGATTTCTTATGTATTTAGTGTGCATCTTTAAAAAGCAAAAGCCCTTAAAATAATCACAATATCATTATCACACCTAAAATAATAATCCATAAATATCAAGTCAATATTCACATTTCCCTAATAGCCCTTTAATTTTTTAATGCATTATTTGTTTGAATCTATACAGGATCCACATTTTGAGACTGGCTGAAAGGTCTCAAGTTTTGCTGTTTCCTATATTGTTTTGATATATAGTTTCCATCTTTATTTCTTTTCCCTTGGGAAAAAAATATTCAGTTTGCAGAATTGATCTCAGCTGTCCTACAGATTTCTCCATAGTCTGGATTTGGCTGACTCCATCCCTGTGGTATTATTTAACATTTTGCATCTGTATTTCCTATTGCCTCTAAATTCAAAGATCTGGTGGATTGATAAGATTCAGATTTTATTTGGGGAGGGGGCAGAGGGATGGGAGGGCCGGGGCAAGCCTGCTTCAAAGGGGGCATTGTGTACTTCCATAATTATCAAGGTTGTTTCGAATTTTATTACATTATCAGCAATAATCATTGCCTAGATCATTAAGGGTTGTAAAATGGTGACATTCAAATCCTACCATTTCCTCTTCCTGAGACAGGCCAGGAAGCCAGGGCAAGTGGAACAAGGAAACTGAGACAGAGAGCTGAACGAACTGGCTGAGCAATTTTCGGACAGATAGCAAATGTCACCTCCTTAAAGATGACATTTGACCTCAGTTGTATTTCAGCTCCAGGCCCAGAAAAGCAGCAAAACCAGGTGGGCAACACCAGGTCCAGTTGCAATGACAAAGGACTCCTGCCCTGGCACTGACCAATCAGTGGAGACCTCTACCCTGAAAGAGCACACCAGGAAAACTGATGACTATTCTGTTCAGACCTTCCCCTGAGGCCTCCCGTAAGAGTCCTGCCTGCAAGAGAGAGATAAAAGCCTCAAGACAAAGGACCCAGCAGGTGCTCCCTCTGGGGAGTGGGCCCCAGTCCTTCCTTTCTCCCTCTTCTTCCCTCTCGTCTTCACCCACAGGCACACATCTCCTAAACTCTGAGGGACCCACAAAACTTGCAATCGGGGGAGCAATGGGCACAGACAGCTTGTCCCAGGCTGCTCCCCTGAACCTGCCCCTAATGCCCCCTTTTCTCTGACTTCCCCTTGAGCTAAGGCAGCACAGCCTAGTCTCCCCTGTGGCTTCTCCTGTGTTAAGCCCTTATTGTACTGCCCTCAGCATTAATAAAGGTCCCCTCATAGTCATGCGGACTTGTGCTGTAAAATCTCTCCTATACAAAGTCAAGAACCCGCACACTACCAGCTTGCCCTAAGCAAACGGGCTGGGGGCCAGGTCCCCTGTCTGGTAACATCCCTGTGTTAGCCGGAATATTTATACAAAGGAAAACTTCTCCTGATCAACTATTAGTAATCATGAAGTACAAACGATATAGCAAAAAAAATTTGTTTTGATTGATTCTTTCAGAATAAATGATTAGTTGATTCTTTACTTAAAGGTTTCCTGAATACTGAGGTGGTCTCCCTACTCATCTCCAAAGCTGACCGACGAGTTTTTTTCTTTTTCAGTGTCATTATGAACTCATGAATCTATTGTCCTTATTGATATTCTTTGGCCAGCAGAAGCTTATTCAATGTGGCTTCCAAGTCTTTTGACAAGAAATTTGTAGTGTTTGGTAGCTTCCTTGTTTTCTATTGTGACAAAATATTCCAAGCTCATTTTGTCCATTTGCTGCTCCAAATCTAGAATCAGTCATTTCTCCCAGTGTCTCTGGGTTCTTTTAGGAAATTGCTCTACAGAGGACAGTCTAGGCAGCAGGAGTGTCACCAGTGCTGGACTGGTCATGTTTTCTGCACTGTTTTGGTAGACCTGTGAATACGTATTCTTTTAGATTTAAAGGTAACACACCGTGGGTTCTTCCTGAGACTGCCAACTAAAATTCAGGGTTACCACAGGGATTTTATTTAATTCTGTGCATTTTTATCTTTGTTTAGCCCAGCTGAAAGTACCAACTCTCAAAGATACCAGCAGTCACTTATCTCGTGATACAAGCACAGGTATCAGAGTAAGAGTAACAATATAACCACCAGCAATATGAGTGTTAGAAATAAAGATTTTTTTCTGTAGTCCTTTTTATCCTTAAAACACATCCTGTTGGAATGTATAATCCAGAAAAGGAAAGGACTTTAAAGTCACTGAGAATTCTCCAGATGGCAAGGTTTTGCCTCCAGTTTGAACCACACTAAAGCTGATTCATTTCGAGTTACTTAATAATTTTTTGAAACCAATTTTAAAATCTATTTTATTTGTTCACTTTTATTTCATGTAAAATATGACATTTCAAATGAGGAATTCTTACCTTTGTGGTCCACAGTTTGACGGTCCAGTCAAAGGACGACGTGACAAACAGGTGGGAGAAGTCGATAGGGCCCACTGCCATGTGGCAGTTAATCCCCGTGACCGGCCCTTGGTGGCCTTCGAAGACCTCGCCGATACCGGCTTTGCTGCATGAAGACGACACGTAAGTAGAGAGTTTCAGTAACCCTGGCAAAGCCGTGATTGCTTTGAAAAACAAATTAGTCCTGCCCGATTACTTCCCAAAAATTTACCACAAACACCATACGCCACCAAAAGTGAAACCACTTTCACAGTATCTTGAGAGATATAAAACACCAGACCACTTTCGGTGATTAAAAAACAACACGGTGTAATATAATCTTTTTGACCATTAGAATTTAATATTAAATGTCATCATTTAACCCTTTCTCAGAAGTTCCTCAAATCTCATCATTGTTGATGTAGTTACTTTGATGAAGAACATACATACTTAGATCTCAGAAGCTGTCATGTCTGTAATGAGACTATTCCATTGTTGCGATCACATTCTGTGCATGTTGCATTTTAATTTCTTCTGCGGGGCCTATTGGCTACAAAGCTCCATGCATTCTTGTATAAATGCATTTATTCTTTCCAGGACATTTGTTACACTAGGTTCACAAACCTGAACATATAATTCTTTGTGGAAACACTTGCCACTGCGAAGTGATATGCATAACTTAAATGAAATAGAGAGAAAATGCTGTTTTCACTGAAGCAGAGAAGAAATTTACAAATCCTCTAAAACAGGGGTGTCAAACTCATTTTCACTGGGGGCCACATCAGCCTCAACGTTGCCTTCAAAGGGCCGAAATAATTTCAGGACTGTATAAATGTAACTACTCCTAAACTGTTCAGGAGTTGAAATTATATTCGGCCCTTTGCGGGCAACCATGAGGCTGCTGTGGGCCCCTCCCCCACCGTGAAAATGAGTTTGACACCCCAGCTCTGAAGGTAAACTGCAAATGCCATAAGGGAGGGTGCCTTGTTAGTATGTTATATTAACATGCAATAAGTGTTCAGTAAATACTTGTTGAAACAAACAGCAAAGGAAAAGAGACAAACTTATACCTTTTTCTTCCAACAGAAGCACATTTGAGAACTAGTGATACACACTTTGAAATTATCCATAGACATTTGTCACTTATTTAACTAAGTCAGCATCCTTTCAGCCCCTTATTATCACACAGTAATCTGTGTGCAATCATACCAAATTAGAAAATATAGCAAAATGCCCTATTTTAAAAACCCGTGTGCATGCGGTGATAAATATGAAAAAATGCACAGGTATTATAGAATTTAAATATTATGTTACTAAGACTAGAAATGAACAGAATTATGAACACATTTGGGCTTCTGCAGCACCAGTAAACAGCAGTGTGCTGAGCACCACCTGAAGTCCTGAGCAAAAGGCTGCAGTGCGCGTTCTGCATAGCAGGCACTCGGAAATCACGCCCAGTGAAACTACAAACATCAGTTCTGCATGTGATCCTTTAAGTTTGTTCTAACGAACACGAGAAACTGACCTTTGAAGTGGCCCCTGGTGAGGTTCCACTTGCCCTTAACAGCATCCTGAAAGGGTTTATAGGGTGTAAAATGAGGACTTTGTTTAATTTATGGAAGTAGATTTGCACCTTCTCTATGTTAGGCAAAAAATGGAAATCTGCCCCCATAGGCTTCTATGACCCATTAAGAATTACTACAAAGCCAAACGCCTGCTACTTTACAACGTTACTAAGATTTGTGTTTTATATTTCAGATGGATGGACTGATGTAAAAGTATAGTCAAGTGTGCTGTACAAAGATTGGTGGTATGTACACCCATATGCTTCCTCTGAAATATTTTGATAGTGCATATACTGATTGTGCTTGAAAAGCACACTAGCCACAGGACAAAAATATTTACCATATAAAAGGTTATTCACATTACAGAATCCAACAAATAAATCTGAAAGTTATCAATGAACATATTCTGTGGCCTTCTCAGATCATTAAGGTCCTGGATGAAGTCCATTGAACCTGTGCCCTATTGACTATAATAAATGTTCAGATGAAGCTGTGATGCCATGTTTGGCCCGCTGCATGGCGTGTGCCTCACACCTGCCACTCAGGACCTTTTACCTGTATTGCAGCTACTTGTGTGTTCACCTTTCCCACCACCACCAGTTTCTAGAAGCTAAGGGCCCGGTTTAAATGATGTTTGTGTGCATGGCAGCATCTAGCGATGCACTCTGCTCACAGTAGGTGTACAGTGAATGTTGGTATGAATGAAAAACTTTGTCAGATCTTTGTTATGTCTTGATAAGACTTTAATGCAGGGTTTAGCCAGTTTTAAGGAAGTAGGCCCTTTGGGCAAGGAACTAGGAGCCAGGTCTTCCTAGTCATCTTTAAACCACGTGAGCACAGCAAATACTGCTCATTACAATCGGATGAAACAGTAGGAACATCACAGATCATATTGTGTAAATAGCAAAATCACTTAGCTGAGCCATGGGTGCTTGTTACTTCTACAGATCACAAAAACACGGGGGTCTGAACTTGGAATGGTTTGTGGTTCCTCATTACATGTATCAATAGCCAAGGATCAAAAATCCTTGGCAAGGATCCCAATAGCAAGGGATCAAAAAATCAATTGAATTAGAACTGAAGTGAAAGAGAAATTAAGCACCAAGGTGAACACAATGAGCCTTTCAAAACATGTGAGACTATTCATTGTCTTATATGCAATTTTACAACCTAGTCTAAATTACTGGATTCCACTTTATCCTGATGCTTTTCCAGGGGGCATTTTCCAATCTCTTAGTCAAGGCAGAGTTCTTGTCACCTGGAAACCACAGTGGCTTGTGTGTCTCATACTATTCTAGCCTCTCTGACTGGGAGGAAGGGTTAGCCCTGGGCACTTCCCTATATTATTTGGATATTGTCATTTCTTTATTCCCCCTCCAGATTTTCAGTTCCCCACTTACTGTGAGCCAGTCACCAGGCACGGAATCAATGATAAAATGAAAATAGTTCAGTAAGAGCAAAATGGCAGATGAACGAGTGGTTGAAATAAAATGAAACTAATATTATTGTAGAAGCATTCATAAAAATACATAAAATAGCAAATCGGACAGCCTATAGTCCTGTCCCATTTATTCTACTTTAATTTCTCCATAGTGCATGTCATCTTAAATCATGTATTTACTTGCTTATTAGTTTATTGCTTTTTGCCTTCATCAAAATATGAACTCCACGTCTGTTTTGTTCCTACTTCATCCTTATGCCATAATGCTGCCTGGCAGATGGTAGGTTCTTGGTAAATGTTCCTTAAAAGAATGAATGAATAAAGGAATGAAAGTTCTACGCAAACATAAAGGAGGGAAAGGTTTGCTTTGCCCAACAGAGTTTGGAGAGGCTTCAACATGCAATGACCCCTGTATTGCCTCTTGAAAATAAGAAGGATTCATCCAGGCCGATGAGAGAGACATGCCAGACTGGAGGAAGAAATCGAATGTACAAACTCATGGAGAAGTGCTGGAATAACCAATACGTGGGACTCCCATCCCTGCTAAGCATGTGGCTGCAGCCTGGAGGCTGAGGCCGGCAAGGGCCAGGGGGTCAAGAGTCTTACACGATATGCTAAGAAGCTGGGACTTTTTTCCCCAAGGCAGTGTGGACCATCAGAAGCTTACAAATGACTAATGACCAAATCAGATGGATGCTCATAATGAAGACTTGAGGCGGTGCTTTGCATTTCTTCAGAAATACCTTTCTCCTAATGCCAGGCGGTCACAACCCAGAGTGCGGTAACAGACTTTCGGAAATGAGGAACACGTCATCGGTAAGAAAACAGAAAATCACCTTCCATGACGACAGGCCGTGTAGACCGTACCCTCCTCACTGCCAACCACGAAGTTATTGACGTCTCCCGTCGGGAAAGCCATTCCAGTAACAGCCACAGGCTTGGACTTATTGTACACCAGCTCCATGCTCTCCTACCAAAACACGCCACGGTTACATTCCCTCTGTCAACCCCTCGCCATGCCAAAGATAGCACGGAAAAATCATTTGGCTACATCGTCTGTTTGCTTTTCACACAGCGTTACAAAAGACCCCAGCTGTGCCAGAAACCACGCTTTGCTGCCCCGACATTCGTGCTTCTGTGTATCTCTGGTTTCAGGCGGCTGGATTTCATCAGCATGTGCTGCTGCTTCTAAGTCGGGCGGAGATGACAGGTGAGAATTTTGAAACTAATGGTGCAGAAACTAAAGATAATACTGTAATGGTTACACTTGTCAGCCCCAGGCTTTAATAAAACACACAATACCCCTGTATTTACAAACATTTTCAAAATCAATTGTTCGTGAGACTACATGTGTACTAATAGCAGATCTACTAAGCACATTTGTCAAACAAGAGTGTGTGTCCTCCATGGACTGAAACCAGAAAGTTGTCACTCAGGTCAGAAAAAACAGACTTCAACAGGGGCTAGATTCCATGCAAGGCGGCCATTGCATGTATTGGCTATAAGCCTGCAAAGAACAGTGTTTAAATAAGTGTTTAAAATAGGGAGAGTCTTTATTTTATCTAAAATTACTTTTGAAATCAACAATTAAAGTGTATTTTAAAACATATTCTGCTGAATTGACTTTAATGACAGTGAAGAATAATTAAGTACAACTAATATCCCTGAATATATTTTTGCTATTTACATCAAAGCACCTACTATGTGCACCTGAAGTAATTTTTTCAAAAATCATTGTAGGGGATCATGTCATCATAGCTGCTTGGACATTTAGTGATTTTTTTGTTTGTTTGTTTGTTTCTGATTTTTCAGAACAAATAAATCAGGTCATCTCAGCCACGCAGTCCCTAAATCGGAAGTGCATGCTCACAGTCTGGGTAGCACAGACCACGCGGTCACATGACATGCCGGCAGTACTAAGATCCACAGAGTGAGTGCATCCGTGAGGGGACCCTGGGATGGCATAACACAGAAACTGGTGCGCTCCATTGATGACATTAGGAGTGGGGAAGGTACGTCTGTTGGTCGCCCACTTGGTTCAGAGAGGAGCCAGGGCCCTGAGCCAGTGTCATGCCCAGAAACCCTCACTCTGTCACAGAGACAGGCGGTCGCAGGCATAATAGAACTGGAAATGGTCTTGTAGCCCCTGCAGGACTGCTTTTGACCGGGAAAAAAAGCATGTTTAATCAGCAAAATGGGCAATTAAAAATTCCTAATTACACAGCTTGCTCTTATGTTTCCACTCTCCATGCTTTTTAAAAAAAAACATACTGCTGAGAATTTTAAGACAAAGTCATGAAATACCCACACACAAGTCCTGACTTACATAACATTAAAGTTAACAAAAATAGAGTAACTTAAATTGTAAGAAGCCTATTAGCCCCCTCAAAATTATAAAAATTGCTTATTTAGATTTAGTATTCTCTACATCTGTATTTTGGGGAGACTTCTGGGAGGTTCTTTACAGTTTCTGTATTTCTTCATGTATCTTGAAACTTCAATGTTTTCTAAAACTGTGAGAGAGACATTCCAGGAAAGGGAATAGGACTCTTCAAATTGAGAATTATCTCTTAGATATCCTTTTATGATTTTCTTGATGTCTTGTCACATTTTTGTCAAAGGCTATGGTGATAAACTCTTCTCTGTGTTTCTAGTTGGAAGACAGTTAAATACTTTTTCCCCACAAGAAAATGTGAAAATAGTATGTATACGTGTTTGTGTGTGGGGGCAATGTCTGCCTGCATGTGTGTATACATACGTCTGCTCTGAAAGCTGCACTCCGGTGCCTCTCTCTATCAATCGCTTCCACTCTGTTCCTCTGCTTGGTTCCCATTATTGCAATCAGTAGTGGTTTGGAACCTTCAGAACTTTTTGATTTTTGACTTCTCATATGTTGAGCAAGGAATGGCAGGTGCATTACTAACAAACACTCCAGAGGAGAAAGCAGGTGGTTTGACAAATTCTTCTCACACACGCACACACACACACACACACAGGCGGTCGTCTAGGCAATGCATACAAGCAAGGGCTTGGGTTTCTGTTTTGCTGGGGTACCTCTTCTCCAAGGACAGTACCCATCAGGGGCCGCTCTGTTGAGCTCCCACCTCGTTTCCATCTGTTTCACAACTCTGTAGGGTAAGTGCAATTCATACCACAGGCAACTTCCACAGTTACTATGCTTTAAAATGGATTATTTCATTTTCACTTGAAACTGACCTAAGGATTAATGTATTATAATAATTACATGATTTGTGGTAAAGGAAATGGGTTTTGGCTTCAAGAGGAGACTGCTGAAAGCAGGCCCCACGCTTTCAAGTGTATCCACTGGTTTTAGCTCCTATAGGATGTGAGGCTTTGGCTTTTAGGAGCTATGTTCCATTAGGTAGGTATCTCTTTCCACCAGGATGCTCTTATGTGTAGGGAAAAACAAACCCACCTGTGGAGTTGAGAGCATGTCCAGGCTCCAGGAACACATTTTACCATCAGTAGAGACAGTGATGAGGTTATGAGCATTCTGGGTCCCAACAACATTTACACAGTACACGGGATGCTGCAAAAACATAAACACGAAGGATCAGACACCGATCCAGGAGGAAATGCTTACATTTGAGTGTCAAACACATTACTCCAAAACAAGGATTAAAGAGTGACATAATCCTACAATAACATAGGCCTCAGGTCATTTGCCACCTTTGATTTGAACCTGATTTCTTTTGAAAAGCTTTGGCAGCAACACACAGCAGTGGAAAGACAAAGCTTCACCCGCTTGTCAGATGCAGCACGATGGAGCTGCAGGAGGCTGGGGAGAGCCAACGCGGACTGACGGGCAGAGGTGGTGCAGCGAGTGGAATCTGGGTTACTTGAGGGAGTCTCCACCTTGTAGCCTGGCTTCTAGGCTCACCAAGAGTGGTAAAAAAAAGCTCATCTTTAAAAGCAGAGATCTACTCGTTTTGGAAGGAGTAAGGGTTACTAAATCTGGAGTTCGAGGCATTATGGTTGCAGTGCCAAACATTTGTGAACATTCTTTATAAAAGTGGTTAATATTTACCAGCCTTTTTAATTTGAGGGAGAGACGGTGGTGGTAGAAATTATTGGCACAATGCGCCTAGTGAGATAAAGTTAGGCTCTTTTCGTTCACTACAAAATCTAGGATAATGATAGATTTATTTTTGAAAATACCATTTGGCATAGTATGGAGGCTTAGATTTGGACAAGGCCTTGAGAAACATCATTTATACATCCCAGGAATCATAAGCAAGATGCTCTAACCTTCTGTCACAACTCTAGTAGGTTATCCCACTCTGTAGAATCCTAAACGGTAGGCTAAAATCATTTGCAGCTGCACGTTAAATACTAAATGGAAGGTTAGCATAAGCAGAACCTAGCAGTCATTTGGGTTAGATTTCAGGCAGCTTAGCCATCAGTGGCCAAACCACAACTTAGCTGATGCTTCTCTGTGCAAATAGCTGACAGTCTAAGTCTCACACTTGATGACTTACTGTCCATTATACCTCGCCACAACGACAATGAAACAATCCTTAATATTGGAAAGTTGATATTATATAAAGAATGGTTTCCAAACTATTATTATCATATAAACTCCTGGTCAGATGGAACCATAATAATCATCTAGGGCAGCTGCTCATCTGCCTTTACCAAGAGGCGGTCCAAACACTGCTTGAACACCTTTCTTAGGGGCGGTCAGTTTCAGCACTCATTCCTGGAGCGTTCTCCTTCCACCAATGGGGTAAAGAAAGCTCAAGGAGATATTTTCAGTACAGCGCCCGCCCTCTGGGATTATACAGTCAAGTCAAATAGTATTTAGATTGTTGTTACCTTCCTCCCCTACTATTGTCTTACTCAAACTAATCATCACCAATTCCTTCTACTGATCCTTGTGTACCTGATTTTCAATTCCATCCCCATCCTGGTCACTCTCTTTTGAACATGCTGTATTTGTCTGAGTTCCTTTCAACACTGGAGTTCTGAGAATGAAACAAACTGTGTTCTGACCAAGGGAATCTAGTCACTTCTCACATGATAAAAAATATGCCTGTATCCATGCATCCTAAGATTACATTTGCTGCTTCAGCGATCCCATTACTTGTTTTACCTGTGCTGATGGACAGTCAGCTAAGTCTCTCTGTCTTTTTCACACCGCATCCCCACAGAAACTCTCAAATGAATCGGCCTGAGTGTATCTGGCATCAGAGATCTGAAGTTAAATGTCATCCTGATCAGGTTCCCTGAAGATCAAGAGGACAAACTGGGAGCAATGCTTTTCCCCCCGAGCCTCTGGGGTGTGTGGGACCTGCAGCAGCAGTGCACGGACACGAGTGCCGAGCCACGCGGCCTTCAGAGCTCTGCGTGAAAATCAGGGGGAAGAATGGAAGAAACAAACTCTCACCTTAAAACAGCAAACCTAGCAAAACTGAAGAATGGCCGATGGAAAAGGACAAGAATCACATGATTTCACTTATGTGGAATATAAAACAGAAAGCAAAAATGAACAACCAAAACAAACAAACAAACAAACAAAAAAACTCATAGACACAGACAGCAGTGTGGTGGTTACCACAGGGGAAGGTGGGAGGGTGGGGGGAAGAATGAAGAGGGTAAAAGGGGTTAAAAATATGGTGACAGAAGGACACTAGACTTTGGGTGATGAGAAGCAATACACAGCTGTACTATAATATCATACACTTGAAACTTAAATAACCTTATTAACCAATGTCACCCAAAAATTAATTTAAAAAATACTGAAATATGGGAAAGCAAGATCCAACCATTGTTATGGATCTGAAATTTACCTAGCGCTTTTCAGCAAGAGTCCAGTGGGATTTCATCACACACAATCAACATCAACACAAATCCCCAAGGCCCTAATGGCCTGGAACTCCTGTGGATGAGTGTAGAAGAAAATAAGGCAACTAGAAGAATATGTAGAGCCAAATGCCTAGGAAGGAGTATGTGTGGTAGCCTCTCTCTGGCTTTAATCAGTACTGCTGGCCTGTGCTTTCATGAGTAATAAAACTTAGTTTAAAAGAAAAGAGAGAGATATAAAGAAACCAGAACAGGAGCAGACACGTGGGCATGTCTACTCATACACAGACACAAACATACACAAGTCTACTTAATGGAAAGATAAAAGCAAACAGTACAGCTCATTTTTCCTGTATAGATGCCAGATTGTTTTTATTTATTTTAGGAATAAACTTACTGTGTGGCAGAGGGCTTTGCTTTAATTAGGATTTCCTGTCGTCCCCCATGCATATGTGTGGTGGGTGTGAAAGGAAATTAGTCAGTAATCTGCGGTGGACCTCTTGTTCCTTAACCGCTTTTCATCCGGGTACCAATCAGCTAGGCACTAGTGGAAGTTGAAAGATAGTCGCGAAATTTACTGGGCACTTTTTTTTTAGCTGTGGATTCAATGAAACACAGCAAAAGAGAAAAAGAAATTGTCATTTTATTTTCTAATAGAAATAGTGCCACTCTCTTGGATAATATTGTAATTGCATTTTGGTTGCGATGATCACATCCTGCATTATTTGAAAAAGAGAGATGAACTGCTTGGAAGAGCTCCTGGATTTCTATTCTCCCCAAAAGCTTATGGCTCAAAAGTCTAACATTCGGGTTGGTGATTTTTTGAAATTTCAGGAGGTATGCTCACAAACACACCAGATACACACAGGGAGCCAAGAAGTGTTGTCACGCTCCTTGAGCAAACACCTGCATTGAGCCTGTCTTCTCCTGGGTCACAATTTTCTGTTATTAGTTTGGAGAAATGGGGTAGGCACAAGCAATTTTCCAAGATTCCCAAGAACTAGTTTCACCTGCATGTGTCTTAGGCCCCAGTCAATCAGAATTAAGGCTAACTTGGCATTTGTCACTTCCTACTGTCAATCTTATTAGAGTGGGAGAATTTTCCTCTTCGTGGCCTAGCTCAAACAGCTAGCAGCTCTTTTTTTTCCAAAGCTAGAGTGGTTTGGAGGCCAGCAGATGAAACAAATGAGGCAACCCCATTAAGGAAATTGAAACAATAGTAGAGCTGTTTCCTTGGGCATAATTTGGGTGTTTCAGAGAAAGAACATCAGCTACCCTGAATGTCAAGGTAGCAAGGATTGACGGAGACATGCCTGTCTCCTCATTCCTCCTAACAATTGCTGAACACACCTGTCATTCTCTTAAAGGAAATGACAGAGTAGTTGTCTTCCAAACACTATACTGAACCTCTTCTGCTAAATTATGGGTAATGGTTTTGAGATGTTAACTTTTAACCTTAGGGATTATATTGTCACTGTAGACTTTACTGTTGAGACTTACACCATGCATTCCAGAATTTAAAGTCATAGCACTCCCTCTAATCGCAAGTGGAAAAGGCCCGTTGGCAGAAGTCTCCAGTGCCTCCCTAGACATGAAACCCTGACTCTTTATGGTCTATTTGAGGAGCTTCTATCTTAAAATGTAAGCATGAAGGGTTTCTTTAGGGGAACAATCTGACAGATGCCTCTTCCAAAGTTTCTCCCTACGTCCTTTTTTAGTTGGAGTCCACCCTTACCGGTGGTCTTTAGGACATCCAAAGAAATCCTTTCAATGTGCCAAAACTTGTAGAATAGTAAGAGATTTCTCTAAACCCAGTTCCTTCTTCACCTACTTTGCACTCGGCTGGACACAATCACTGTAAATTAGAGACTTGGAACTTGGAGTTACTGACGACATTGTCCTTTCGTCAGTTTTCCCTGCTCTCCGGGTGAGGCTGGCTGACAGGCATGGGACAAAAGCTGGACTTACGGTGTGCGCAGCCGCTGACAAGGGTGTCCGCTGCACTGGAGTCCTTCGATGACTGCGATTATCCCACAGGACAATCTGGCCCGAGTAGGTCCCTCCAACCACCAGGTTGGGGTGGAAACGAGCAAAGCACACGGACATCACAGAGGACTGTGAACGAAAAGGGAAGAGAGGGGCACTGTGAAATGCTTCAAGAAAACCCATTTCTTTTTGAGGAGAAAGCAGTTCATTACGTAAACTCAACACCTCCTGGAAAACACAAAGCAATCGCTGAGTGCACTGTGGGGAGGAAATTTTGTTCACAGACACAGACTTTCCCTTGAGAGGGTGGCCAGTGGTTACCCCTGGAAACCCGAAATCTGAAATCTTGGCCATGTCATCGACCAGGCGTGAAACCTATCTGGTGCACGTTCCTGTTCTGGGGAGGGGAAAGCTTGGTTTATGGGTGTTGCCCATTTACCAATAAAACTGTATCAGAGCTGATGCTCATTCTCCACTGACGTCTTTACAAAGCCATTCTTCACTTGAGGTCAGGGCCACATCAAGTTATAAGACATACAGTGTTGGCAAGGTTTTGAAGACTTTGAGATGAGGTGCCGTTTTGTTTTTGGCTTTGTGCAGACTTCTAGGAAGTATGCTGACCTCAGCCTGATCCAACTGGCTCCTCCTCAAAGTCCCTTGCCTCCCATGGGCATCCTCCTGACCTTTATCCTGCCCACTTCAGACAGTGCTTAATGTTATTCTTTGCCTATTTTAACAAACAGTCAAAAATGGATTTCAGTCCAGCTCTGCCATGGCCTGTCATAGCATCGTGGATGTGGTTTCTGAAAATCCACAAAAGACTACTGGGCACGACGTTTCCTAGGAAATTGCTGAGCGGAGGCAGAGCCGTGATATACTTAACATCAGACAAGCTGGCTGGCCCGCATCTGCTCTGAAGTCCATTTTGATGCCTGAAGTGTTTTCCATGTTTGTATTTGTATGTTGAAGTAATTGTTTTTCATGAATACATTCCATCCCTTCAATTAAATTCAATAAAGGCTCTTATGTGTAAGAAAGGCATTACACTGGGCATGATTCGAATACAAAGGCATTCACTGCGTTTAACAAACTTGTGGCCTGGTGAAGAAAACTGAAAGCAGGTGGGCAGATGGGCAAGCTGCTGCTAACCGGTCTGCGCCGGTCCGTGCCTGTGTGTGAAACAGAAGAATGTGTCTCTCCACGTGGACATAGTTGTGCAGGTGGGCGCACGCCTTAGCAAGTGGAGAGTACGGTGAGGTTTTGGCCTTACTCGTCTCTGGGCTTGACATCCTGCAAGTTGCAGGGCACAACTTGTACATATAAGTAGCGGCCTTGCATGTGGGACATGCCATGACTAAATCAGAGGTGGATGCGTGTATGTGTGATGGGGGAAGGCTGGCTTGAGCTACGAAAGGGGATGACAGAGGAAAGTGGAAAGGGTGGTGTAGGTAGAAAGCCCTCATGAAAGGAAATGTGTAGGATGTGTACGTGGAACATTCAGCAAGTGGAGGGGAAAAGAAACTGGCATTCCTGAGAGACGGATAATGGGGAGAAGAGACTGGAGGCACCAGCACGGAGGCTGATGGACAGCCCACAGTCTGGTTCGGCTGCGAAAGAGCTTGCGTGGAAGAGGCCAGCAGTAGGAAGGGTGGCTGGAGAGGTCGCATGGGCCCCTGAATAGCAGGCACATTTGAATTTTGTTCTGTAGGCAATAGCGAGAAATCAGAGCTTCCTGAGCAACAAAGTGAGAGGATCAAAGGTTGTAACTGACAAGCCAGCAAAGTAAAGAAGTGATTGGGGAAAAAAATTATGACCTCTTTCTGACTAGGAAGCTAAACACCCGTTTCTAAAAAAATCAGAACTACTACCAGCCTAAGCCTTTCTAGTCAGAATCAGTCTCAGACACTCTGAGGTAGATTAAAGAATGTGGACTATTTTTCAATGTCATGTTTTCCTAGTTTGAATGATTTTCAGTTCCAATTCCTTGAACACGTTTCAATGGAGAACATGCGTGTGCCCCAATCTGGTTTTCATAAAGTTCAAGAATAACTCTCAATAATGATACTGAATTAAAGAAAAAGAAAATAATGCTGGTTAGCTTCTTGTTTTACACATCCCACAGAAACAATTCTTAGTTTTCAATTGATGAAATTCTTATGTTGCTCGGGCTATGTTGGAAACAATTTTTTAAAGCTTCAGAAAGACTTAAAATTCCTTATGTCCTTAAATTAGAAAAATCCACTATTCAACCACTTGATTGCTTCCGCGTTTCAGTTAAATCTCAGCAAATACAGCTCCAAAACTTGTACAGTTTGTTGAGAGACTGAACTAGAGAAACATGAACAGTGGTGCAGTTTCTACAAAACTGAAACGCATAGTCGGCAATCAGCTAGACTCCCACCCCACCAAGTGAGAATTCTACTTCCTTCTTTTTCATTCATTCATTTGCTCACTCTTCATTCACTCATCAGACAATGAGTGCCCACTAAGTATCAACTCAATAATTCCAAACATTTTTAAATGTCACAAAAGCCCCATCTTGAAATCAGAATTCTAGCTACATTTGATAAAAAGTCAAATTAATATTAAAAGGCCGTAACACCACGTTGGGGCACCAGACTTCTGCCAGCTGAGGCTGTGCTGTTTTCCTGCAAACCAGTCCTTACAGTATCTCCATAAGGAATGGAGTAGACACACTTATTGTTATTTTATATTTGAAAGATTAGAAATGGAGAAGTAGTTATGTTATTCAACACTTTCATTTATTTTTAAAGCTTAACACATTAATTATACTATATATTCAATGGATGGTAGAATACATATAAAGGCTCAAACCAGATCTCCAGAATATGCCATATTTGACATGCTATCATTCATATGGAATCATTAAGGCAGTATGATCTCAATTATCTAGATGTAAAGTTTTAGAATTCGGTCATTTCTTGAGATGTTTTTAAGTACCCTGATGTTTGATGTAATGGTGGCAAACGTTTGGATGACTGACTGATTTTTTTTTTATTTTTCATCCAAATGTTTAGGGTCCTTTTGAACAGTCCCCTAACTAAGCCCTGACAGAGAAAGCTCCTTGTCTAATTTGGAAAGTATGCATCAACCTCCTAGAAGTAAAGTGTCTTGGAAAAAAACCCTGTAACCTCCTGCTGTTCATACAGCTACTGATGTAGTTGTTGTTGCCAGCTGTCATGGAATTTATAGCCTTCACGAAGGGCAAAGGATGACATCATCCTGTCAGTTACACCTACTTGTAAAGAGTAAAAAAAATTCTAGAAAAATTAATTGACACTACTAAAATATGTGATTTTTTAACAGCACATATTCTGAAGATGCATCATATGGAAAACATTTTTAATAATACAATGTTATTTTAAAAATCACTTTCCTAAGCATTTCACATTTTGCATTCAGTTAGTCAGTGTTATAGTAAGGCATTATTAAATTATAGGATTAATGCAATTTAGACAAACAAAATCAATTGGAAACAAGAAGTTTCCCTACCTTGTTACTCTTGGCTCTATGAGAATATGTATCAATATAGATATCATTGTAGTTTTAACTTTTTACCTATTTCATTTTATTCTTTAAAATATTAGAGCCTTAGAATTATTTTGAGAAATAAGGTATGGTCTTTAAACATTCAAATCAAGCAGTTCACCCAAGGGGAATAATAATGATCCAGTTGACAAGACTTTTTGGACAATGTTAACTATCTAATCAAAGTGAGCTTTCCTGACACTACAGTCAGACTCTGCTTTTATAAGGCTAGTGATTTCACTGATGTGGCCACGTTGACAGTCAAAGCGAGGGCCCAGAAATACAACCCAACGTGTTAAAAAGCTTGATGTAAACTGATGAGCCTGACCGACTGCACGCAAACACGCAACGCACGAGGTGTCGTTCCAGGGCAAGCATCACATTTTGCTGACTTGCATCCTTTATAGTTCCCCTTGATTAGGACAAGCACGGTTCTGGAACTGTGCTTTCAGGATCAGGCCACCTCTACTGACCATTTCTGGTGTCCTCTGCAGACGCAGTGCCAGAGGCTCCAGAGGAAACTCGGTTTATTTTTCATCTCCAGCAGACTGCCTGGTTAATGGCTGTCCCCGCAGAGGCGGCGCTCCCCTTGATCCATATTGCCACATGTCCACTTGAACACCAGCTGACCCACTAAACTGCGTTCCACACCCTCCTCATCCACTCCCAGAGGAAGCCGTTTATTTTACCCCATTCACCAAGGTAATTCCAAGGAGACCAGACGGGTGGAGCCTTCCCTTTCAACGTCTCCCTCTGCTCACTGCACACCACTGTATTCAATTGCAGCCGGCTCCAAACCCTCCTTAAGTGGCTGTGGAGGCTGTTTTCTATTTTATGGAGCTAATGCAGGCCAGCTTAGGGATGGTACTTCCCCTTAACCACAGACCCAAATGCCTAGGACAAATAGCCTTTGGTCACTGCTGGCTGGGCAGCTGGTCCCCTATGTTCACATTTGATATGGTTTGTCCTTCTGTGTGTGGTGCTCTGCCCACTCCCCAGCCATCGTGGCCGAGTGGGAGCAATAGGGGTCCTGTATTCAAAAGCAGCTCCTATTTCAAGTACCATCTCTTCTGGGGAGAGGTTGGTCCCCAGAGAGGGAATGGCCATATTGTTGCCATATGCTGTGTAATGGTGGCTGACATTTCATGTGCCTAAAAGCAAATGCTTAACTGTCAGAGGGCTCTGAGGCAGACAGATCAGATGCTTCTGGCTACTAGTGAGCTAGTATGTATTTCTGCAAGTACCTAAGAAACCCACAGAGATATTTCTCTTCTTAATGGAAACACATGGAACTGGGGGGCCTTGCTGTCGAAAACCTCCCTCACAGGCCATCACACAGCAGCACCAGGCATCTGACCGTGTGGAAGGTGTGGAGGTGGTAAAGCCGAGCCACAGGTCAGGAGTCGGGTACTGAACTCTAACAGAGATGAAGGGAAAGGGCCTGGTTTCCTTCAGAGCTCTCTTCTCCTTTGCCTCAGTTTCCATCCCAGGGTGCACATGTCATTCTTCTAAACTCTGAGGAGAGCAGCCATCTACTGAAAGTTATCACCCCATTGGGAGCGGGGTACCCAGGAGCAAAG